CACAATTCACGAGTTGAGGGTGGTTGGTTTAACACTGTAATGGTTGTTGCACTTTCTGACACAGGAACGGCACAGGAAAATGTGCTCACGACACTGTAACCACTGAATTAGTTCTTAGTGATGTCAACCAACACTTAAATTACGTTCTAGATAAGTTTTATTACTTTTGGTCATTTGAAATATGATCGGAAATCAATGGAAGAGTGAGTGAGTATGGTTTTACACTGCTTTTAGCAATATTCCACCAATATCACGGCGGGGACACCAGAACTGTGCTTCACACATTGTACCCGTGTCGGGAATCGAACGCGGGTCTTCGGCGTGACGAGCAAACGCTTTAACCACAAGACTACCCGACCGCCCCTTTAACAATATGAAGAAACATGAATCGAAATAAAACATTGAACGAACGAATGAAAAACAAATGAACCAGAATGCCATTAAAAAGAACCAAATAAATGCATTAACATTCCAACCGCTGACATCTTGTATTAAGGAATCCATAAACATTCTTAAGGAACGAGTGCATTTTAAAATGAACGAATTAATGATCACAAGAAAACAACCAAGTCTATAAGATTAACACTGTATTGATAATGCACGGACAACTCTTTTGTCAGTGACGCACCGTATTAAGTATGCAAAGCGGAATATACAATGTAGGATATGAAATCATAAGATCGTCAAACAGCATCGCCATCCTCCAATGGGTCCAGTGTTTGGCAACAAGGCTTGGGATAAACACCAGGATAGCGATATTCCAGACTTCGTGGTAATAGTGGGCAATTTATTGTGTTTGTCCGTTGAGGGTATGGCCTGTTTGTGCATAACAAGTAGTTCACAGACAAACGTCATATTTACATAGTGTCCGTTGGAGACAAAGGGCTAATCACATCTGCCTGTACATAATAGCATATACACAGCGGTTGCCTGGCAACAAATCAAGCTAGTTGCAATCTCAAAATGTTACATAATAATTGCCGTGATTGTGTAATTTAACAGTTTTTATTTACATAGAAATATGAACTCAAACGCATTTTCGAATATGCGAATCGTTAATTTCCTATTTCATTTTAGCATATCGTATATTTGACGTGGTGTTTGAATATGTAAAATTAATAATAGATGAATGTTTACTACGGTAAAAGAATACAAGGTAATGGAACTTCAGACTTAAAAGCTTATTTTTTTCTTACATATTGATTTACTCTTTAAGAGAGTGCATGAAAATGTTTGCGCTTGTTAACACCTACATCTGACGGGCGAAATGTGAATAGCCTATAACTAATAGGAAAATCCGAACAACGTACAGCTGACGGGAGAAATGTGAATAGCCTACAGCTAATAGTAAAAGCCGAACAACGTACAGCTGACGGGAGAAATGTGAATAGCCTACAACTAATAGGAACATCTGAACAACGTACAGCTGACGGGAGAAATGTGAATAGCCTATAACAAATAGGAAAATCCGAACAACGTACAGCTGACGGGATAAACGTGAATAGCCTACAACTAACAGGAAAATCTGAACAACGTACAGCTGACGGGAGAAATGTGAATAGCCTACAACTAATAGGAAAATCTGAACAACGTACAGTTGACGGGAGAAATGTGAATAGCCTAACCTAAAATAGGAAAATCTGAACAACGTACAGCTGACGGGAGAAATGTGAATAGCCTACAACTAATAGGAAAATCTGAACAACGGACAGCTGACGGGAGAAATGTGAATAGCCTGCTGACGGGAGAAATGTGAATATCACACTGCTGGTAGGAGAAATGTGAATAGCGTACTGTTGATGGGAGATATGTGAACAACCGACTGCTGAGGGAGATATGTGAAAGTCACTCATGTCAGAATACCTACCACTGAATAGATCTGAAGGAACTGACAGAGATATCGAATTATTAGATGGAATATGGTGTCAATATGGTGAAACCTCTTAAAAGAAAGGTCAATAATATCTCAAAAGGTTTGATGCCACTGAAAACTAATAATTCACATCGGTAGATAGTGAAGCGATACATTGAAATGTGTATCTAGAATGTAATAGCCAAAATGTCGTGAGAGTTGATGTAACAATTTACAGCTTTCCTATGGGTATATAATAGAAATATTGTGAATTTGACCAAAAGAGAAATTTGAATTTACAATGTCAAAGTGGGCAATAATATTATGTCGATACATAAAAGGCAAAAAAATCTAACCTTTGATTTAAAAGTGAAACAAGAATATTTCGATCGTTGATAAAACAGAAATTAAAAAAATACTTTTTTTTGCCAGTTAAAGAAAGAAACATATATATTATTTATTGCTGTCCTGTTTGAGACTGAGAGAGAGAGAATATTTTTAACTTTTGTAAAAAAGAAATATAACGTGACTTCGTTTGTTTAGGAACTCTTTTTCTTCTCTGTACCTATCTTGGGATTAAATTGATATCTTTTCACGGCATCTGTATACAGTGTATATATGATAATACCCTCATACGTGGTGGATATCACATTACACACGCACAACTGTAGTACATAAACGATACAGATGCTGTTATGAGACGTGACGCACCCAACACCCGACATTGCATCATATATATTTAAATGTAAGAAGCTAGCGAGACCGTTGCACCTGATGTCCCATTGAAACGACAGTGGAACCTCGTTAATCTGGAACCCGCTTATGCGCAAACAAACTGGGATTGGAATGATCGCTGACCTGAACGCTTACTTATATACAAAGAATAAAGCTAAGAGCAGCTGATAATATATTTTCTTATAAAACAGTCAGTTTTAGAAATCACATGCTGTATTAATTTGCTGATGAAATTCATTTGTTTTTGTTCACAATGTAACATGCTGAACTGTTACCCGAATGTTTAGTAAATGCTCTATTGCAATAGTTAATTCGTTGGTTATTCCAGTGGAAGTATTTATTGGGAATTCTAGAAAATTGAAAAACGGGGTTCACTGTATGATATATATTAGGTGAACGACACTGCTACACATGGTAGAGACAAACTGACCGACAAAGACGTTTAAGCTAACAAATGCATGGACACACCACGTATTGTTATGAATGATAGTATACTAAATATAGGCTTTAAAATATAATGTGACAAATCCCTTAGACGTGTTAAATGCATATAAAACGGGAAGAGACAAAGAAACTTCCATCACTATTAAGAGGATCATCAATTAATGCATATTTCGATACTTTTCAATAACAGTTTAACGTAATTAAATGTGGGAATAGGATAATGCTATACTGCCGGGCTAAAGTAAAGAATACACCCATGTTTGATTGTGGCTAAAATGAAAGAAACATGAACTTATTATTCGATGGCGATGAATTTGACGCGGGTATCATACTTGCGTTTTGGACTTACTTTTTCAGTGTTCGGTGATTGTTTTCAGATTAGTAACGTAATGATAAAACGTGTAATATGTTTGTTAAATTCATTTCTCAAGTGTATACTTTCTTTTCCCGACAGTTTAGGTAAAATGGATTGTTTCTAGTTTTTCTGAAGGGTGCTGACACTGGTTTTATATTAAACACTAACTGAACCGATTTAAGGGTCTATAATATTACTATGCATTTATCAGGAAACATAGCTCTGACGTTGTGTGTATGCCTAGCCTGTCTCATTGCCTTTCAAAAGACCGCCTCTGTGGTCCAGTGGATAGAGAGTCTCCCGGGAGGTTCGGGTCCCCTGACCGCGTCATACCAAAAGGACGTTAAACGATGACACTTCTTGTTACCCTGGATAAAACAAGTACTGATCTGCTCGGAGTCAGTATACAGTGTATGAGTATGGTATCTATGTTTAACTGCGGCGTGTAATTTCAGTTTTCTAGCACTATTAAACCGGACTAGTCCGGACTAGTACTGGTATCAACATGCACGTCGCAATATAACTGCAGTAATGTCTAACGCGGCGTTAACGTTAACCCCATCTCACCTCACGTCCTCGTTAAACTGGGTCTCCCGCTATTGACTATTATTGTATGTTTGATTATTATTAAAAATATAAAGTTGTCTGAAGTGCCTGCAGATTAATAGATAAATATCTACAATGGTTTGATTATTTCATTCAGAAGTCTTCATATTCCAAGCTCATGTGCATCACAAGAAAACACCGGTTCACATTATTTACAAGAAAACGAAATCCCTATGATCACTAAGATTGGTTTATGAAAGTTGGGAAGAAGTTCTGATTGACTTGGTGGAAAAATGTCTGCGAGAGACGAAAGCACCGTCAACGTCACGTTTTCTGAGATGTGTATTTACTGTTAGTTAAGACGTGCCGTGTTCGATGCTAATGTAGGTTTATACAGCCGGTCCATAAGTGTGAAAATATCAATAAGAACAGATGGCTGTCGAATATAGTGCCATAATCGAAACTGACGCTTGCGCCTGATGACGTACCTGGAACACAATATCTGTAAGTGCTAATTGTCAAACGGTTTCGTTTCCATGACAACTATATAATTGATTATCACCAGTTATGACACCCCTTTGTTACCTACGCCAATGGGTTATATGGGCGCTATGTGTGACGTTGTCAAAACGAGCTCGCAATTGCTGAGATGAAATGCTGAAGCTTAGTGAATAATATATAAGCAAGATGCTCGATCCTGACATCTATATTTTCTATTATTCAAGAGAAAATGACGATTTGACAACACAAATAACATGATGCAAAAATACACTAAAATGTCATCCCAACAATATCAATATCAAGTTAAATCGGTTTCTCATAGCTTAGGTTTGAAGTTTGTTGACAACATGAAATAAACCTATTTAATCAGTTTTACACATTTGTAGATCACGATTTCAGAAATGACAGGAGTGGTAGATATACGCCTGCGCGTATCAACCAAGCTACCACAAGCATGGAATGGGCACTGTTGGCCGTGTACACCCTCATCGACCACAATACCCATCAGTGACCATCGCGATGGACACGGGACTACAAAAGAAATTCCCTGGAACCACAGTTACCTACCGGAGACACATAGGTAAATCCTGTTCTCTTTGCTACATCTCTGGCGACCCTTGCTCCTCCGGGGGCCTCAAGCTCCACTAACCAGGAGTTAGTAAGCACTTCTATCTCCTTACATACGACCAGCTCGGGAAGGACTAGAGCCAATGTTACCAATATTCCCAGAAATCGTCTAGTTCTCCATGACTGAAAATTAACCATTTCAAACAGTACGCCCTCAATTCCGGTTTCTCCTTTTCTGTTTCCAACAACAATCTTCAGGTGTTGTTTTCGATGTTTCTACTTCAATATCTGATGTTCCTTTCCCCTGCTTGAATCCCCGACCTGGTCGTTCTTGGCAAAAAGCACCTAATAAAATATTCGCTTGCCTTCGCGCGGTGATGGCGCGCAATCGATAACAATTTCTGGTCACGTGGTCGTTTGACGTCACATCCTAGGAAACGGCGGCCATAATGGCAGATCGATCGGGATTATTGGGAAAATTCCGCGAACAACAGAACGCCGCTTGACACTATAGAGGCACGTCGAAGATGGGTCTGGGCTTCAGATTGATGGACCTACGCGTATGCCTCCTCGTTTCGTGTCGTCCTTCTTCAAGGACCTCCCTGCTTATGGCTGACACTGCGCTTCCTCGAGACCGAGTACATCATACAATTTCCCAGCATATACAACGTTCTTTGGCTATAATGCTCCTCACCTAAGAATGCTTTTAATCGATTTCAATAGTAATTAAATTTGGCACGGAAGTCTTGTGCGTGAATGATTGCCGCCCGGGGCAAATGACTATATCTTGCCCGTTGAAGTAACACTGAAAAGCCCAGACAATACGACAGAGATTTGATAAAACCCTAATCTTCGATATAAAGCCATCACCACTAGTACGTTTAGACAGCATTTCCGTCTTGTAAGGCTTTGCCATATTTGTTAAAGGGATAATTAACTTTTTTTTATCATCATTCAATGTGGCTGTGAATTTCTGAGAACAATATAAACCTCCAGTCGGATGTACACTACACATGTGAATAGTATTAAATTGCTTAAAAAATGCTTTGGACAAAGACATGTATAGTTTTCCCCGAGCAAAGTCTGTTTTGTTTATCTCGAGATTACTCGCTTTAAGAAACGTGTGTACGCATGGCCAACCTCAAATCGTTATTCACAATCACAAATTTATCTCGCCTGAGGAAGATATGGGACTGTTGGTACATTCAGAGTAAACGTCTTGGTGATGCCTCTCATTTTTTGCTAAAAAGAGGCATTATCAAGTTAAAATGTCATTTCATTTATGAAAATCCATCATATATTAAATTTGACAAAGACTGAAACGGAGATTGTTAAGTTCGTTTTCTAATACGGTAAACTTCGTTTATAACGAACACGCTTATAACGAACTGACGGATATAAAGAACTGTCTTTTTTGCTCCCGGCAATTTGCTGTACACATACTGTATGTATATATAATGTATGTTTATTACGAACTATCGTTATAACGAACTAGAATTAGAGCTCCCTTTGAGTTCGTTATATCCGTTGTTTACTGTAGTTAATTAAATATTTTTTAAAATATAAATTTGTTCAGGCATCAGGTTGTCATTTGTCAAATGCATAAACTTTCCTGTTCATGACCCAACGACCTTCTTTATTGTAACATACAAAAAGATATTAAAAAATAAATGTCAATCGTTATCGACTTTGTGACGTTTGCAAACCAACTCCTTATATCCAACCCATGTCGCTCTGCATATCAGTCGGGACGCAGGTTCAAATTAATGTATCTCCTATACGTTGATAGCAATGCCATGTGCTTACTACGGCCACGGTTGTACATAAAAGTGTCATCAAGTTGTAGCGTAAGTAGTATCGACCCACCCTCCTCTGTGGGGCCTCTTGACAACAAAGCACCTTATCAATTAATCGTGACTTTACCATGGACAAACGAGATTCGAGGCAGTTATGACCAATTTGGCATATCACCTGGGGTTCAATGCCTCGGATACAGTTTCTGTTAAGGATTGGAGTATTTAATGAAACGATAGGGAAGATGCTTCATTAACTTGCTGTTGTCGATGCTGAAAAAAATAAGTTAGGGATCATGACTAGCTTGGGGGATTTTTTTAATGAAATTGTCTGCTAAGTCTTCCCTACAAAAACATACCCCCCAAAGTATGCATGATCCCAAACTTTTTTTGTTCAGTATATTAGCATAGGAGTTATATGTAATCAGTGAAATATAGTACTTTTCCACCTGCTGCACGTGGTGTTATACCTTTTCGTTATTTAAACATCTATATGATGAGAGATTATTTCGATTTTCCCATCGTGACTTTCCCATTATGTCGAGCAATATACATGTACATTACTATCCTACAGTATGACCGCTACAGGGAGGTTTCACCATCTCTTGATTCACTGGTACTTATTAATGATTTGGTTGACAACGTGGCCTTGACGACTTCGATCATTGCTCATGATACTGACCACTGGAGTGACTGGTCAAGACTCAGTTGTTTACAGGCCGCTGTCATACTGAAGGAGCACTTCTGAGTACGGCGTTAGACAACAAACAAACATTTATTTTATTATGAAACGTGTGTCGATGGTGGGTGCTTCTGACAGAGCAGGGCAGTCATGCCTACCTTTCGAGAACACCTGGTGTCGTCACTGATTGTCAGTGATCCATCCATTATTGAACGAAGCCCGATTATCGATATACCCGAAGCTTAAGTTTAACATTCCTATGCAAATTTAACTAAATGTAGTTACGCTGACCTTTAGGTTTCACAGCGGATTCTGTAATGATGGACCAGTTTCATTATGGCTAATATTATTTATCGATTCAAACAATAATAATTCTTTAACTAAATGCATAATTCAGTTCAGTGCATTAATACAAAAGTCTTAAAGTTCTATTCGTTGCCATATCAGAAGACTGTGATATACATAGATAATGTCTCAAATGTCAGATTCATAATACGATAATGATGGTTTAGCATTATATATATATATATATATATATATATATATATATATATATATCACCCGTATCCAAACATCCCTGCTCAAATGCGATTTATTGGTTCTTCGACCAGTGGATCCGTATGCATTCTAGTTATCATGCACACACTGAGCGTAATGACGTATCAACGTTGTTGATCCATAGGCAGAATAAAAAGCGAGATACGATCTCCGCACCCCCGCTTGCAAGCCTGGCGATTGAGACCGCTCGCCCACTCCGACCCCTGTGGCACCTGAGGTAGAAGAAGGTTATCATATGCATGATAGAACCATTGGAATATCATGATTCATTTCTTTCAAAGTATGTTAAACCCGTGAAGATTCGGGGTAGAATAGGTCTTCAGCCACCCATGCCTGCCGTAAAAGGCGACTATGCTTGTCGTAAGAGGCGACTAACGGGATCTAGTGGTCAGGCTCGCTTACTTGGTTGATGCATGTCATCGATCCAAATTGCGTGGATCGATGCTCAAGCTGTCAATCACTGGATTGTCTGGTCCAGACTCGATTATTTCAGGCCGCCGTCATATAGCTGGAATATGCTGAGTGCGGCGTTAAACAACAAACAATCAAACAAAACAAACAAAGTATGTTAGGCCAGTAAAGTATGTTGTTTCTTCTCATGAATTCTTCAAAATTGGGAGGAGGGAGTGTAGGGAGGATGATTCTATTTAACTTTTACTTCTTTATTTGGTTAAAAATATTAAAGTAAACTTTATTCTTTTGGGGAGACGTGCCTAGAGACGCGCCCAGCGACTCGTGGCCAGTCGTCTAAAGCGCCGCAATTCACTGTTCAAAGTTGCGACACTTGGACATGTCAGGAAAAAATATGATCGTGTGTTCGAATCCTGGGGACCAATATGTCTCTTGGCTTGGCGGCACCATACCTGTGCCAGTGGGTTTCACTGAAATATACATTTAACCGTCTAAGACCTAAACGACTTCGGGCATTCTTCCCACATCAAGCTAACACCGTGATATTACTGAAGAAATACTTAAAGCGGCGTTAAACCAACTCACTCACTCGCATAAACATGAATGCTTCAAGTGTTTATATTCATAAAGGAAAATCGGGTGTCAGGCACGATGGCATATCTACCATGTGTACCATATCTACCATATTTACCATGGTGTATAAAATGGGGGGTCAGCCAGTTATAAAACCAATCTCAACCCAATATAACACGTGTTTCAAGTTGCAGACAGTTCGTTTGATGGGGTCGTGTACTGCACGTGCACTTCATGCGAAGCGTGATATTGGCCTCTACCGTAACACACTCGGATATGAAAATACTGCAGCACGAGGACTGGGTGCAGCACGTGAGTTTCATGTAAATAGTTGCATTTGGCAGCGTTCTGAGAAATAGAACCGATTCGGCACATAAAGGTCCCGTTAAACGAAATAAATGTTATTGGGACAGAGTCCTTACAACCAGACAATCTGCTCTCAGTCGCCCCCTGCTTATGACGTAACAATGTGATCGTTGTTATTCGATCGGACTGTAACATGGGTGGACATCTGCGTTTAATTGCATCAAATGCATCGATCTTTAATCAACAACTGTACGTTTTCCGCATGCTGATTGTCCCACTACTCTAACAGGTCATTGATTGCACACTTCTGATTAGTCGTCAGCCGAATCCAATCTTGTATTGGAGCCTTACACAAGGGCTATTATCGTTAACATCTGGCATTATGTAAACCGAACACCATAGCCTTGACCAGCTGTCCGTCTAGTGTAATCACATTGTGTGTAGGAAGACTTGGCTTCAATAGAGGTTTTTACACCCCGCACACTGGAGTTCATATTCCTGTCAGAACATAATAAATATATTACCAGATGTATTATCACCGCCAGACATTTTTCAGTCTTTGTCTTTTAATTCACCACCCAGGAAACGTGTTGCCGACATCTTGTTTACGACTTTGAACATTCAGAACAGCAGAACCTATGTTTCGAGTAATATTGGCAGTCAAAACATACATCGTATCGCTTCAGGTGAACGGACAGAAGATAACAGACGTGGTCAATGAAAATATAAAAATTGCGATAAATCACAAGACATGATGATTTACCATTTCAATTGCATTTCCTGTTCTGCCTGGTCTTGGTGTCATCCACTTTCGCCTTCAGTTTTATAAAAAAAAGAAGATATTATGCACCAGGTATTTATATCATGCAGATATATTTTATATGCAGAGATTAAGATTACTGTTGTATTTGTCGAATAAATTAAGCCTGAAATAGCTATCTGCTGTACACACATTTTTTCCCAGAACTGCCGGTGACAAAATACCGAATAAGAAGATGTAACGAACTAATATTTTAATGGAATGATAAGAGGAAATTGTATCTGAAATTATTATCTTAGCAGGAATAGTTTATTCCAATAT